CATTAGGAGAATCTTCCTCAGGTGTGCAGAGGTGCAGGAAACAATGAGGCAGCCAATCATCAAACATAAACACCAAAAAGCCAATCATAACACTCGGTTGTTTCCAGCTGGACTCATCGACTCATCGCTTCAGTTTCCAGTTTCCTGCTGAGAACTGAAYGTTCCAGAGGAGGCTCCTCATCTCCTCATCACATCTTTGCTCTAGATGTGACGCTGCTGTCATTAAGAGGATTAAACCCCGCCCCCCCCKAAAAAACATGAAATTCACTGAAACCTGATTTTTTTTTTTTACGCTGATGGTTTTAGGTTTTAAAAGTCATTCATGTTTTTCAGCCGCTTTTAGCTGCAGGARGTTTGGTTTGAAGGACCTCAGCAGATCTTCTCACCTGTGTGGGMTTTTTTCTGCCCTCCAGGGAGGAAATCCCTGAAGTGGCGAGACGAGCAGAATCCCTGCACCGCAGCGTCCCTCTGAGCCGAACCGCTGAGCCTCAGTAATGGTTTTATTTTGAATGAAGCMGCATAATTCAGCTCTGAGAGAGACGATGAAACTTTGAAGTCCAACCCCTCCCCCTCCCCTCGGCTGAAAAATGTGACGTGTCTGGGCCTCTCCTCTCCTCTCCCGCTCTCCTCGCCAGGGAYAACACGACTCCAGGCGTTTAAGGAATCCTCAGGAGATTGTATTCAATTCAGCAGCTCCCAGGCGGCCGACGGGAAGAAGCAGCGATTTCAATAATCCCCCCACACTCCCCCCACCCTGAGCTGATATTCAGTCTGCCTCTCAGATGAGTTCTGCTGGAGAGAAGCTCTGAAATTTTATTAAAAAATCCATCCTGATCGGCAAACCAGAGAGGAGAGCTGCAGTTACCTGACCCAACAACCGTCCGGTTTCTCTTCATTCACCACTGATGTTACATCATCAGTTCACGTCAGAGTTAATAAATAATAAACTCACACAGGTGTTGTAATAAAAACACAACTGCACCGATTATTACGGCTACTTTCACTTCGGTTACACTCGAGTTGTTTTTTCTTTCTTTTCGAATTTCTGAGAATCAAAAATGTTCAAAATAAGTAAAAAAAAACCAAACATTTTACTAAAACATAAGTGGGCAGATTCAAATGAAAGTTTCTCAAACAGAACGATCAGTTTTCCACCGTTTATTTGAATCAAAACAAATTTTCCTCCGAAAAACAAATCTGTAATTTTATTTCAGTTTCAGCTTCGACTGAGTGTAAAAAAAACTCAAACTAAATACAGAAAACGATTTAAAGTTTCAGCTTGAGCATAAAAATAAAAAATCTGATTTGTTTTGAAAAATGAAACTGATTATTCAGCGTTTTTAATGAAACTGGACCTGAATCAGGACTCTGGTGGACTTGGTTTGGACCAGAAGAGGACAGGTGGGTCCAGGTGAGAAGGGTTTCTGGACACGGTGGTCCCGCCGGGTGACATCACCGCCCGTCTCCATGGTAACCTGTGTAGCCTGTGAGCTGCTGGGGTTTGTGTGTAATTAGTGTTTGGATCAGACTAATTAAATGCTCCATCCATCACTCAGACAGTGAGGAGAGGCTGATCTGAACCYTTAAATCACTCTGTCACAACCTCTGCCTTCAACCTGCAGCTCTGTTCCTCTCACCACTGCTGCCGTTTGTTTTTATTTATTTCATAAAGCTCGTCAAATGAGCCTTTTTTTTGTGTGAATTTGYTCGGTCTTGTTTTCTGGCACGCGTGAAGTCTAGACAAGTGTTTTAATGAGTGTATTTACGGTGGTCCGGCGGTGCGTTCAGGGAGCCACAGGAAGRGGTCTACAGCCTCATCTTCATGCTGGAACAGGCTTTTAGTGCAGCAGCAATGAATAATGGGCTCTTGTTCTGCAGCAGCCATGCTCTGAATGCCTCATTTGCAGCGTTCAGAGGGCCCATCGGGACGAAGAGACGAGAGAACACAGACTTTTACTGTTTTCAGCTTAAACTGGTTAAAACAAAGCTCGTCAAACCTTCGCTCATCCAAATTAACGTGGAAACTTTTGTTTTTAGTCAAACCTTAAAAAAAATCTATCACTAATTAGTGTTTGGGTCAGAGAGACAACAAACCCAGACCTCCCAGTCCAGGTCCTCCTGGAGGACCCCGAGGTGTTCCCAGACCAGAGGGGACATACAGGACGAATCAAAAGTCTCAGGACGCCCTTTGATTTCACACAAAGGAGGAAATAAGTAGAGGTGCAACGATACAGAAAATTCACGATTCGGTTCGATAATTAGGTCTCACGGTTCGATAATTTTTTGATACAAAAAAGAGAAATGTCCATGCCTATTTAACTTGTAATTAATTTAAATTAATTA